GCCCGCATCGCCCCCAGCTACAGGCCTGGAGAGGGGAGCACAGAGAGGCAGGGGCGGCCGGAGAGGAGCCTGTGTCGCTAATGAGCAAGTAAGCTCTGTTTGCACCCCTCCACTGACGGGGAGCTCACTACCACAGAGGGGTCACTGTGGGCAGGTGGCAGGCCCTCTGGGCTGGGACCTGGCTCTGAAGACCTGGGAGAGGGAGTGGGGGGAGTGGGAGGAGCCAGCCTGGGGCTGGGACTGCCTGGGAGGTGGGATAATGCCAGGGTCCTGCCCCCCGACGCCCCCTCCCCCCGCCCTCTAGTGCTGGCACCACCGCCTCCGGGAGCCTGGCTGGGACTGCGGATTATTCATTGCCAGGTGGCCTATGGCCGACCGCCTGTCCTTTCTGCTTTCTTGGGCTGGGCAGGGCCCTCTGCTGGACACAGAGCTCTCTTTGCTGCCCTGCGGACACTCCTCCCCCGGCCCCACGGGCGACAGCGTGTCAGCCCTGCAGCCCTTGGGGGCCACCCGCTCCGGCCACGGGAGCCGGACAGGACCTGGTCCCTCCCACGGGGAGCAGGGGCAGAAGCGGAGCTGGGACCCCACCTCCGCAGACAGTGCTGAGGCAGCTGCTAGGACTGTCGCTGTCACTGCTGAGCGTGCAGTAGGCTCTTGTGCTCTCAGCTGATAGCCCGTCACCCCTCACAGCAGCCTGGGGGTGGGGGGCGGGGGGTGAGGGACAACATTGCCACGTTTCGGGTCAGAGACCCCAAGGCTGCAGAGCGAGGCAGCACCTGGGCCAAGTCCAGAGCCCTCTCACCCAACGCCGTTCTCAAGGGCACGAGTCCGTCTGCTGGGCCCCCGGCCACGCCAATGCCCTCGGAAAGCAGCCACAGAAAAAACCTCGCCCTGACCAGCTTGGCTCAGTGGATAGAGCCTCAGCCTGCGCACTCAAGGGTCCCGGGTTCGATTCCGGCCGAGGGCACAGGCCCGGGTTGCGGGCTCGATGCCCCCCCAGCAGGGGACGTGCAGGAGGCAGCCGATCAATGATTCTCTCTCATCACTGATGTTTCTATTTCTCTATCTCCACCCCTTCCTCTCTGAAATCAATTAAAATATTTTAAAAAAAAAAAAAAAAGATGAAAA